AACATATTATCCATACAAATTAAAAAAAAAACACAATTATTTCATTCAAAAAATGTCGTTTTTGTCTAGAATTCTTCATAATATAATATAACATTTACCTTGATATTGGTCAAGAGATATTCGATTTTAATGAGATTTCATCTTATAATGTATCTTATATCTCAGAGATAGCGACACTTTTTGCAGCAAGAGCCATAGTTATCTACAAGAAAATATTAAGAGCCACGCCTAAAGTTTTTGGTATAAAAATTTATTTTTTTTAAGGATAATCAAATTGTTATTAAGTTCGTTATTTGAAAATATTTGTCAAATTTTTCAATTAATTTTTGGAGATGAAAAACATATTGTGTTGATTTCTTTGCATAGATAAATTTAGGTGATTTAGAATGGAGAAGTTGTCTGTCTAAGAAAGTTTTGTAATTAATTTTTTGTCGTCGAAATTAATGGCCAAATTTAGAAATATTGCATGACAATGTGTCGCTCAGATGCGTAATGCAATGAACAAAAATTTCTTTATCAGTAATTGAAATATTTCTTGAAAAATAAGCAAATGAATGTATATTTGCTATAGTGTAGACATTTTTTTTGTAAAGGAAACTTTACATAGGGATCACGGGTGAAGTCGTGGTACTATGGGATTCTTGCCGCACTAAAACCTCAGCTCTTCTTCGTCAGCATATAGGACCTGTATCACTGTACTACTCTGTGATGCTGATTGTCTTTGCCTGTTTGGAACTTCCCTTGTATCATGTTAGTGCTAGCCTCCACTGCAACTGTCCTAGTCTTTATCTTTACTCAGTAACACCTCTGATTCATTCAGCATTTTGCTGACGAAATTTTCCGGCTCTAACAGAACTTCCAGTTCTGCCTCTGTCTCGTGTTTTCTTTAAAGCCATCTGCAGCACCTAAAAAGCGGGTGCTATCGTCCTCCTCACAAAACCAGCACCTTTCGTCTTCCTTTTTTGCAATAAAGTGCAGGTACTTGCCAAAGCATCCATCTGGCTAAATGAGCACAAGCTCACATGTACGCCACCCCTTAAAAAAATAACTCTATGTATGTATCTACTCTTAATAAATACTTTTAAACTTCAACTTCAACTTCAAAGCATCCATGATCAGACAGCGCCTGGCTTAGGTGAAATGTTGTTTTTCCGTGCTTTCTGCTTATCCAAGGCGCTATTTGTGGGATTAGACGTCGAGTCCAGATTCCTTTCTTCAAACTGTGCCATTTATCTTGCTATTTTGCAGCAGTCTGGCTCTAGCAACCGCATTCGTCGCGCCCCTCTGCCTCTCACCTCTCTCCAAAACAAAAAGCTCAATAGGTGGCACACCAGTTATCACCTGAACTGAGTTTCGGGAGATTGTCTTGTACGCACTGTATATCCCAATTGCTCCTCTCCGTTGGACCGTTTCTAGCGCTTTCCTATAGCTTAGCACTGTCATTGCTTGTTCCCATATAGGAGCAGCTTACAGCATAATATACTGTGCCACTACTCCTAGCAATCTTCTCTTGCTAGACTTTGTTCCACCCATGTAGTGCATCAACCTGCTTACAGCTATAGTTATTTCTGCTGCTCGGATGGCTACTGCCCTGATGTGCTGGGCGTAGGTCAAGTTGCTGTCAATGGAGACGGCCAGGTATTTAATGACTTTCTTTGGTATTATTTCTATGCCTGACATAGTAAACTTTTATTGACCTTATTTTCCTCCTTCCTATCAGTAGTAGCCTCTCTATGAAATCCAGTTCTGGTGTCTAACGTTGCCTTTTCAGTGAGTTCCTTTTCTGATTTTGCTACCACCACTACTGCCAGGTCATTCGCATATCCAATGACCGTTATGTCTGCAGGTTGATTGATCTTTAACACTCTGTCGTAAGAAAAGTTCTATAGGTGGGGCCTAGCAATGATCCCTGCGAAACTCTGCTATTTATTAGCATTTCTTCTTCGCCTTGGGAGCTTAGAACCTTTATAGAGCGCTCGTTGAGGTAGCTTCTTATAATACTTTCGAGGTAGTGGAAAATTCCTCGTTTGTTTACCTCATCCATGATGGTCTTCCATGCGACTGTATTATACGCGTTATTATAAAGATATAAAAACATAATAAAATCTAACAAGGTTTTCGCGTCCTCCATTTAAGAATCTTTGATACATTTCTTTTTAAGTCGTATAATTTTATTCATAATTTATTCATCAATGTGAACATTGAGTAAACTTAAGATCGCAGTTAATATTAAATCTTTCTCGGTGGATAATTACCAATATGATGATTTGATTTTTGAATTTGTTGGTTGGATTTCGTCTTGAAGGTTAACTTCAGTAGTATATTGATGCTCTGAAATTCCACTATTTTCTTTGACTGTGAATCTGATACTATCCTTAACTCTGTCATTGTTCATCGACTTGGCTGAAGGTCCATACATCATTCATTTGACTGTCCATCTGTGATGAACGATGGTCATATTGCTGCAAGCACCGAGAGGGCTCACAAAGAGCCTGGCTTGACCAGGATTCAAACCGTCGTCGGTTCCATTGTGGGTAGGGCGACTAAGCATTTGGCTATTAGTAGCCCTGTCTGATACATATATTGAGCCACTCTTAACAAAACTCTTTAAGAGCCGCATGCGGCTCCTCGTAAGCCACATTTTGATCACTAATAACTAATGATTTCACTGTATTTATTATTTAGTTTAATACGAAAATATAAGTAATTTTATATTCATATTGTAATGAATATTTTCAGTTTTGCTTTTGTTGGTTCTATTAATATTATTAATTAACAGCTAATAAATCCATTCATTTGTAATCTCGGTACATAATTGGTGATGACTCTATATTCGTTTCCTTGTTTTTTGTTTTGGAATCGCGGGAGGACTATTCTTGAAGGTCTTAACCGGTGGGCATAAAATATTTAAGATCGGTTTTGTGGCGCTCCGACGCGCTTCCGTTGAATTTGTTTAAAGTGGATCTGTTACGGGTTTACGTGTAGCACAGTAAAGTTTTTCGAATTTTTCAATTTGAGATGTTGGCCTAAATCTATATCTATATATACATATATATGTGTGTGTATGTACGGAACCATACCTATTCCCGCACATGCGACCCGAGGGAAAACAAATAATGGATCAAACGTGAAATATAGCCCGGACGACAAAGCCGTATTATATATATTTTCCACCTTCACGGCCTACCTTTTTTATTTCGTTCATCCCTCGTGTTTCGCTTGTTTTTCCTTTTCCCTGCTCCTCGATTGTTAGGTGTGATTTGCTGTTGCGCAACTGTCATAGTTGGCTTACGTGTTTCCCTTGTTACATGCAAGATAGTTTTGGAGGACCGTCACATAAATCGGTTGACAGCGACATCTATCTCTCTCTCGTTCTCTCATACACATGCACCCACTCTCACTCAGTTTCTATCCATCTCCGACATTGTCTTCTGCATCTGTGTGGGGGTGCCGGGGTACAGAGGGAGAAGGGTTTGAGAGTGATGTGTTTCGAGTTTGAGAATGGTGTGGTTCGCATGGCGTTGAGGAGAATTCCAGTCTTATCCGGAAACCACAAGATCCACACAATCGAGACTATTGTTAAGCTCCTTACACGCTCCGCTACTTCCGCACCACGGATCCGGCGTGCTATGACAACAATTAATTCGCGTGTTCAGATATAACCCATTCAAAGGGCGTATAAAAGAGTATATAAAGCGTACGTAATGTTGACTGCAACATTGTGCTCTCAGTCACAATGCACTTACCGCATCCACCACGAAAATACCACTCGAGGATTCCCATGCACATTTTAATTCCTTGCACATATCAATAAAACTATTAAACAAATAATATAAACATTCATAAAATTCGTATTATTTACAATTTGCAGTTATTTTATGATAATGATGCATCCGCAATCCACCTAATATGAGATATGCAGTTTATTAAGCATATTTTTTTTGTATTTAGCAATATTTGGTAATTATTTTTTAACAATTTGAATGAAAATATTAAAGAGTAAATATTAAAATTTTATTCAATTAATTCATCAAATATGTTTCTTTTAAAATTTGTAATTATTTTATACTAATGCTGCATTCTTAATATACCTTATATGAGACATATAGTTTGTCAGCCATATGAAAATATATTAGATATTCTGATATTATAATAAAAATATTTTGTATTTATTTTTATTTTGCGTAATTAAAAATAATCAATCCGGACTAATCGAAACCGGACTATTTGAGATATTGCTGTAGAAAAAATATTTACTTATTATCTATGCAACTATATTGAACAAACTATTTCAAAGTTTATTAGATAAAAGGATTTCACTGTATACTTTAACTGCGAGAATTAACGATTCGAGCGAAACGAGTTTAGTTTTGATGTTTTACGGTAACAACGTCCTAAAGCATTGTGTCTTCAAAAATATGTACATAGATTATTAAATTTAATCACAATTTTAAAAAAATATAATCTAATTTAAAAAAATATATAAATTTTTATTTTTTTAATTTGAAATATAACTTAATTCACTTTTTATTTATTAATGTATTAAACTATTTCAGCATTTATTAATACTTTAAGTCATATCAACATTTTATGATTTAAATCAAAATATATAAGTGCCATAAAATTTACTAACTTTTGTATGTTTAAATAATCAATGTAAATTCTAGTTTACATAGATTTTTATAGAATATCCTAACTTTAAATGTTAGGAGATTTTCAAATCTCTTCTTTTATATTTTTTTTTACTTACAAATTATATTAAATTTATATATTCGATATATAATATATTGATCATATTTTATTATCACACTTCTTGAATTTTTGTTTATTAATTCTTTTCTATACTAATATATTTATTAAAATGTTTATCTTAAGTATCATTGCATTTCTTTTCCTATCCATATACATACCAATAGGATGAAAGATATAAAGAAATATTTTATTTTTTTGTAGATATGTTATAAATATTGTTTAACTCATATGTTTTGTATTTGTTTCAGATTGTATTGGAGGATGTGAATTCAAATGTCCTTGTAACAGAATGCCGAGGAGATTCAGAGTTCTTTTGGCTGTGATTGTGTGCTGTGTGGCATCTTTGGTGAGCAGCTGCCCCGAATCCTGCGTATGCAAATGGAAGAACGGCAAGCAAACGGTGGAATGCTCGGACCGTGGTCTTCTGGTGGTACCGGAAGGTATGGACACCGGCACCCAGGTCTTAGAATTCGCAGGAAACAATCTACGCCATCTTCCGGATGAGAAATTCTCGAAGATGGAGTTAATCAATCTCCAAAGGATATACCTGTCAAGATGTCAGATCACAACGATAGATGAGCACACTTTCAAAGGGTTGACTAATTTGGTGGAATTGGATTTGTCTGAGAACGGATTAGAAATAGTTCCTTCCGCTGCTTTTTCCGATTGTCTGTCATTAATGAGGTTGAGTTTAAGCGCGAATCCTATTAGGATTTTAAAGCGAGATGGCTTCAATAAACTCAGGTATTTGAGCACTTTGGAGATGAGCCGATGCGAGTTGGAGGAGGTTGAAGATGGAGCTTTCGATGGTTTGAAGAGTTTGGAGTGGTTGAGGCTCGATGGAAACAAGTTGAAGACGATTCCGGACGGATTCCCGGTGGGTGTAAAAGGTGTCGAGCTGCAAGGGAATCCTTGGGAATGCGATTGTCATCTGCTGGAGTTCCGAGGTTGGCTGGAGTCTTTCAGCGTTCCGCATTCGGTACAGCCCGTTTGCAGCGGTCCGTCGAAGCTGGCGCTTCGTCCTTTAAAATCGATACCACCGAAGGAGCTCGCCTGTCTACCCGACGTCTCCCCGACTACGTTCTATCTGGAGATCGGTGAAGGAAAGAACGTATCCCTTCTGTGTCAAATTAATGCCGTTCCGGAGGCGCACGTCTCGTGGCGCTTCCACGACCAAATTCTTCAGAACGACTCGATGGTCAGCCCCGGTACAAGACTTATTTACTACGTCGAGGAAGGCGGAGAGGATAAAAAAAGCGAGCTGTTCATTTATAATACGAATCGCGAGGATAACGGGACGTTCATTTGCAGCGCCGAAAACGCGGCTGGAATCGTACAATCCAATTACACGATACGCATCGTCCTCAAAGAAGAACCGGATTATGAAGTTGTCGTTTTACCATTCGAGTTTATCCTCATAATACTCTCGGCCACGGGAATATCCTTCTTGATCATCTGCGTAGCCCTAATCCTCTCGATAGTTAAATGTCAAGCTGCAAAACGGAAGGCCAAGGAGAGCAGCAACCTGATCATCAGCAACTCCACCAAAGACAGCTTCTTCCAAGACAGCGTTGACGAATACTCGGACATCTCCAAAGAGAGCAGCAACGTAACGCTAATGGACAGGCAGCAAGCTCTGATATACAGTAACGAGATGAACCCTTCGGTTATGATCCCAATAAACAATCCTCCACTCTTGAGCTGTTATCAATTGGAGCAGAACCCTGACCTCATCAACGATACAGGAAGAAGACGCGAAGGAGGAGACGGGCAAGATGAAACAGAATGCGACTTCCTCGAAAAGGGATGTAACTATCGACTCACCGCCGACGTTCACCTGAATCCTGTCGGACTTTTGAACACGTCCGCCCCCCTTTTCCCATCCTGCTACCGCACCCTACCCTACGCCAGGGCCTCCCCAAATTCAGCGCCCTCGCAGAGCAGAGATGCCGAGCTTCTGGCTTACGGGCATTTCACCCCTTCCGTTAGGCACACAGCGGATGGTTATCCTGCAAGACACGAAGAGTTTGAGACGCCCTTCTGTGTAGGCTCGCCACAGCTCAAATGCAAAGATGTTAAGTCAGTTGGAGCACAAACCCAAACTGATCTTTCGCCTGATTCCATCGAGGCCACGGATCAACAGTAAATGTAATCATTATTAAAAGTGTAGTGTGATATAAATTATAATCAATTAAAAAAATAACCGTGTACATATTAAGTGATAACTCATTTCTTTACGAAATTGTTTACTTTTGTATATACTTATTTCAAAAATAATACATCTATCTATATTACTGTATGAACAACATTTTATTTAACATATCCCTTACATATAATTTAGTAATTATAAAAAAATAATCCTATCAATTATTTCAAACCAATTACAAAATAATGTTCATTTATTAGGACAGAAAGAATTATGGTCAGTTGACTTTTTTTGATAATTGTTCTTTATAAAATTTGATTGGGGTTAATTTTGGGGTTATAGACCTAAATATTTCTCTTTATTTATCAAATTTTAAAAATATATTTATTATTCATTATTCAATATTCAATACAGAATACTGTTATGTAGATCGTCAAAAATATTTGGCGATTATTCTTTAATTTTTTTAAGTGCAATAGGTCGCGGACCAAATAGTTTTAGAAACACTGTTGTAGATAACAAAATTTTGCAGACATTCATTTACTTGAAACCAGTAAAAGATATTCAGTTTCTTGTTATATAATATAAATTATTACATAATTTACGATGACAACATGACTACCTACTGTACTTTAATTTAGTTGGTGTACTTGATACTTTTGTTTGTCAAATTTTAAACAGTGTGAAACGGCATAAAACGGCATCTACATCTACACAAATTATAACAAAACGATTACTCAAGTTATTCGCAGTGCAAAAGTAAAGTGCATGTTAAATAGATTTTGCGATCATATAAAAAGTCATTTAACACGAAGTGTTTGCGGTATAAACGGGAATGTGCCCGTTCTCGAATAAAATTAAATTAGACCTCAAGTATACAGCTAGCTTTCATAAAAAATACACGAAACTTTTTCTTTCGCTCCCTGTTGAAGCCTTCGAAATGAGTGCGGACGAAGAGTGCCCTCGTCCGACTTCATTGGCATTCCACCGGTAGTTCTTCATTGTTGCAATCTGAGCCCCGTGCGACGAGCCGCAAAACTTCTTTAAACTTCTCCACTCGTAACGCACGAAACTTCTTCGAAACAATTAATCCCCCCTGAGAAACAGAAGAGCGCTGCAGAAAACAAAACAAAAATGAAATAAGAAAAGAAATGTAGAGAACAAACGGAAAATAATAGGGAAAAAGAGATGCAAAAACAGAAGCGGAAGAAGGAAACTAATTCAATAAGCATATCTTTGTTTCTTTCCACTCGAAACCCTTAGTTTTGCAAATTCATTTATTACAAACTAATTAATTCGACATTGCAAATTCCACTAACTTTATCATCAAAATACGATGATCGAAAAAGTATTTTTATTAAAAGTTCAGTTTTATTCTTGATGCATCTATTAGTTTCGGTTATTGAAATAATTAAATATTGCGGAATTAATAAAAACACATTTGCTTTGTGAGGTGGGGTGAATGTGTAAAGTAAAAAAAATCGAATGGCTCGAAGTAATAAATCGAGACAGGACGACGCGTGATATATAAATTGAATTGAAGAGAAAGGAAATTGGAAACACGAGTAGGAAAGAAATATACACAAGGAAAATTACGTTTACGTATGTGAATTTATACATGCATGCATTCATCTATGGGCATTATTGAGCCGGGAATTTATTCCGTTCCATTTATTTTGCCTGATCTAATTTCCAGCATTATTTATTACCGATATCCTCCGATGTACGTTTCGCATCCCCCTAAAATTGGCGAACATTTAAATTCCGCAAACATAATCGAAATTACTTTGACTTTAAACGACTTGTTAAAATGTAGTTTGGATGGCATTAATTCGTATAAAGGATGAAATAGTTTTGAATCGCTTTCTACAAATTTGAACAAACTGAAAATTTAATATAAAAATGTAAAGAAAAATTTGTTTTTGACTAATTTAAATAAATGAAAATTGTCATGTAAAACGTAGTTAAAAAAGTTTGTTTTTATAATTACTAGAAAATGAAAAATAGAATAATTTATAAAGTTTTGAAACAAAAATTGAATCAAAAAATTAATGAAACTCCAATAATTTAAGAAGAAAATAAAATCTATACAATTTTATTATCGTTTAATTTTCTTAATCAAAATTATGTAAATTTATTTGTATATGAAATTTACTGTTCAAAATGATATTATTTATATATAAAATATATTGTTTTTGATTTCATTGAATATTTCTTTTCATTTTGATACATTTTTTGATAATTGTAATTATTGTTCCAACTATTTATTTTATTCAAATTTGTGCATATTTTCAAGCATAAACTATTTTTTATAATTAAAATATTTGATTACTATAATTATCTATGTAATCTCAATCACGGTTGAAACTATAGAATAATTTAAAAATGTATATAAAAATGAAATAAGTTCTATTCTCAGAACATTAAATAAAAATCGGTAGTATAAATTGAATCTTACATGAGTAGCGAAGTCGAAATAACTGCAAGTAAAAAAAAAATAATTGCAAAAAAAGAGTCTATTTAAACAATATTTAAGAATAAAAAATAAGTTGATAAAATCGATATTAAATTGGAAATTTATAGATGAATGAAAATGAATTCATTCGACGTCTGTCAGCAGGAGATTGGAGGTTTCAAACTGAAATCGTGTCATTGTAGTTTTGAAGCCATCAATATCGGAACTTTTACGAAACTTATCGTATTTTTCTTCTTCTTTTTTGCAGTCAAATGCGAGAATTGCGATTCCTTTCCAACATATTTACTTTTCTTTTTTGTTTGTTTGTTAAGATCATTGGTGATGGATGGTGAAAGGAAATGCTACATTTTTTTTGCGCGCGTTTTTCCATCGACCTTTGTCGTTTTGTCCTGCATTCTGCAAACAGTAACTTTTGTTATCTGAAAGTTTTCTCAGCTGCGAGACGTGTCAAAAGCTTCGAAATCTAATGAATTACTACAACCATCTCCGTACGATTCGCATTTCAGTTCTTGGAAATCCAGAATCGATTCTTCCGTAATTACAAAAAGTCGCTTTATTATATTAACTTTTTTTTAAGTTTTTGTCCTTCCATCTCTTAACATATATTCGTTTTGAGAAGGAGGATGAGGATGAAAGAAAAAGTGTCGCCTTTTCTTGAGGAGAAACCTTCGAGGCTAATGAGCCAAGAAAGTTTATAAGGAGCTTAGCAAGAAGTGGCAAAAGAAAAAAGAAAGCGAAAATACGTAAAGAGGCAACGGAGAATATAGAAAAAAAAGTATGTATAATGTAAGAGTACGGGTAGAACAGAGAGCGTTCCAGACGTTAAATGATTTAAAGTTTACTGCGAGTCAACGTGGAAAATGTGTTTAACTCTGTCAAACTTTTAAATGCAATAATAACCCATGACTTGAACGAATTACAAAGCCAATACATCAACCAGATACTTGCTAATTTTCACTAAACCTAAATGCAATTTGTTTAATTACAGTCCCCATATTTGCAACTTTAATATTACAAAAAAAAACTTCAATTTAAATTACTACCAAAGTAGTTATTAATATCCACTGAAACTAATTCAATTTGTTTAATTACTCTACAATATCCATATTTGAAACTTTAATGCTAATTAACTAATATTTATTATATATTAATATATTAATGCTAATATTTAACATGAAATAAAAAAAAATCAATTATAATTTTTAAATAATTTACGACTATTGCCAAAAAAGTAGGTCTAATAAAAAATAATAAAAAAAAGTGCCTAAATTTGATTAAAATATTGTAATTCGAAAATTATTTATACCACATACTGCGATTCATTCATTCATACGGAAATATACAGAAAGGTATGATTAGCATACAATTTACCACCGGATTTTATGCATCGATTGTGGCCGGAGGGTTGGAAGAAGTACAGAAAAAGAATGAAGGGTAACAATAACAACCGACGCACCATCAACAATAATAATAACACTTGCCTCGCTATTTTCTGCTTCCCTTAATACACGCTCCATGATACATTTTCCTATCATTTCCACTTCATTTAATCGAAAAGCACAACAAATTCCAACAAAATAAATACAAAGAGCCGCAACAGCATTTGGTACGTAATTCAACTGAAAGGTAAATATTTTGTATACGAACTGAAATCCATTTATTTTTTTTGTATAATTAAGGGTTTAATCGTGATTGTTGTTTTAATCTGTAACAGATTCACCGATTTTCTTCATCAAATTCTTGTTTTGACGCTCATTTTCGAGATAAAACTCGGGAAGTTTTGAATGGATTTTCTTCGTTTCCCCGGAGGCCCAAAGGGGAAACTCATTCAAAGATATTATTTTTAAAACTCCACTAAATGTCTCCTCAAGTCGCCAATTATCTACATCAATTAACGAGTTAACTTCTTATTTTTTTCATTATTTGCAGAACTAATGTATTATTGCCATCAATCTAATATATTGTATAACTCTAAATGTAAATCGACAAAATCGACAAAAAATGGTGAATATACCATAAATCTAAATTTACGAATACGAAAATCACAAAAATATTTAAAAAATTTAATTAAAAACATCATAATTTTTTTCATTATTTCAAGAAAAATTTTATTGTAAACAACAAAAATGTATGCAATTTGAAAAATTTAATTGAAAAGGCAATTAAAGATTCAGAAAAAAAATAATTGGAATTGTAAATGAGAAAAACAGAATTATAAAATAATAATAAACGCATTACATGACAATTACAAAAAAAACAATTGGAAATTTAAAAAAAAAATACTAAAAAAATCGAAATTCTAATTGCTAAAGATCATAACTAAAAAAATCAAAATTTTGTAATTTTCTTTTTTAACCGATTTTCTTTTATCGTGCACAACTCTGAGGATAATTCCTGCATGAAGGCCAATGTTATATATTTCTCTGACAGGATATTAGAGTTTGGTACGTGTCCGTGCGAGACTTTCGAATACGGAGCACGTCCCTATTATAACATTTTTATGAGAGACCAGTGAGCTGAAGATGACATTAAACTACTCTGATAAATGGCACCTCAAAATACTAATAACAACCAACCGTA